GCCACACCACAAATCTATGGCTGCTCTTGGAAACCTCAGCAGCCCCAGGCTGGCCCAGAAACATGACACAAAGCAGAGGTGGGTATTCAGCAGGTTCTGACCAGTTCTGGAGAACCGGTAGCATAAATTTTGAGTAGTTTAGAGAACCCACAAATACCACTCTGACTGGCCCTGTCCCCATCTATTTTCTGCCTCCCAGCTGCTTGGCTGGGTCTTCTTTTGTTGCCCTGCACAGGAGAATGGAGCTGGCAAGCAGGTTAGGGGAGTGGGGAGGGAATGGAGATTTTACAGTATCCTTCCCCTGCCACGCTCACCAAGCCACACCCACCAAGCCATGCCATGCCCACCAAGCCACGCCCACAGAGCCGGTAGTAAAAAAAAATTGAATCCCACCACTGGCCACAAAGGAGCTTCTTGGAACATCATGGCTCTGGGCTTCAGAAGCTCCTGAGTTGCAGCACAAAGCCCTTCACAGTGTAAAACACAATGTGGCACAAAGCCACAGCTGCCCCACTTCAGTTTCAGCCAAAGTTGCCTCAAACATCATATCTGAGGCCCCTGCCCCCCTGTGCTCTGCTGCCCCAACTGACGTCTACTGTCTTTTGCTTTTGCTGCTGAGGTATGCCTGGCCTGGCACTTTATGAGGCGGCTGCTGGCTTTGGGTGGCCATTTTCCTCATGAGGAAACCACCATGTGTGATCTGGGGAAGAAAGCCTCGTGTGACCAGCAACTGTCTGACAAAGAGTCAGGCCAGGCATACCAGCCAAAGGAGCAAGAAGGCAAAGGTCAGAAGGCGCTGGAGAGTCCAGGGGGCTAAAAAGCCAGAGATGAGGGGAGGGGAGGGAAGTTGAAAAGCCCATGTGGTTGTTAAGTGTCAAGAGCCCAAACTTTGAATACAAACAAATGAAACAAATGCTTGTTGAGGACTACTCATATACCTCCTTGAGAAAAGGTAACCGGCTCCTCTATAAATGTCAATCCAAGTACAAATTGTTCTGGAGACTCAGATAACATAGAGCAAGGCTTGTCTGTTGACGACTAATGAATCAAAAATTTAAAAGTGACAAACTGCTTTCAGACAAAATCCCTTCATTTTGTACATTAGAATAAATGTTATCTATGCTCATTTAGCACTTTAGGAAATACCCAATGTATAAAAAAGGTACAAATTTTGCAATGACAAAAAAAGGAAATCAAGGTGTAATGGTATGTGTGTGAATGACCTTGGGAGACAGGAGGAAGAGCTGTAGGCTGGACAACCAGCACATAAAAGGTATCTCTGCCCACAGAAAGGAGAGAAGGTGTAGGAAGCATTTCAGAAGGGACTTCCCGTAGTTTCAATCTTGCATTGCTATTGTCGATTTTGTTAATGTAACCTTACAATAGAGGTAGAGTTGGTACTCATTGTTCTGCTTCTTGTTTGAACTTCCTCAAATAGCTAACATCAAATTACATAAAATGACTAAATTGCACATCTGTGGGCTCAATGGGGGCTGAAAACACACAATCCATTCATACAGAAATATATAAAGGCACCTTTATATGGACAGTATTTAGGTTTCCTGTAGGAAATTCATTGAGCCATTTCAAGAGTTAACATCTCATGAAATGCTGGGCCTGCTCTATTCCGATCAAATTGTTTGGCAAGTTGTCTCTTTTGCTTTCTAACAGTTACAAAGACGCTTATCAATATATAAGTACTTGGCTAAACCTTTTCATTCTCCTGTACAATATCGTGGAGGAGCCTTATCAGGCACTTCGGCAATATTAGTTCTTTCTCAACTTGTTGAAAATGCTTCACAGACATACTGGCACCATGGTCGGCAGACAAGCATTGCAGGCCTGAGCCAATTTTGAGTGCTAAAAGAGAATAAAGGTGGGGGAAAGGAAAAGATAGTAGTTGATCGCTGTTCAGTATTTTATTTATTAAACAAATTTATACTGCCCCAAACTCACACACAATGATTCTGGGTGGCATACACCAATGAAAAAAGTTTAAAACCCCAATGCCTCATCTTCTCCCCTCCCCATGATGTCCAACAACATCAAACAAGCCATTTGATTGGCTCTGTTTCAACCCAGGGTCCCCAAGCCCACTGACCATGTCTTCAGGACCATTTGAAAAAGTAACAAAATAGGGACCAATCTTATGTCTAGGAGAATGTTTCATAGGGAGAGAGTTACTAGAGAAACCTTTCTTCTTGGACCCAGAAATGTTTTTCCTTAATAGATGGGATCCCCAACATGTCCTGCACTCCAGTGGGCTGGGTAACCGCAACTGGGGCAAGGCTGTCCTTCAAATAACCTGGCCCCAAGACATGCAGGGCTTTAAAGATGGCATGAATTGCACCCAGAAGCAAAATGGCAATCGGTGCAGCTCTTTCAAGAGGCATCACATGCACAAATTTGGGCTTTGGCAATACGATGTGAGCCACTGCATTTTAAGCCAACATTTGAGTCATCTGGATACTCTTCATAGGCAGCCCCATGTAAATGGGGGATATAGCCACAGTGAGGGTGACTGTGAGAAGGAATGTGTGCACTATACACAGTTGTGCAAAAGCCATCCTGGCTATGACTGCCACCTGTTCCTCCAGCAGGAGTTGGAGTCCAGGAGAAGCCCCAGATTATGCACAGTCACCAGTCTGAGGCAGTGCAACCCCATCCATGACCAAGGATGGTAATTCCCCATGAGCCAAAGAGCTCCAACACTCAAAAGCCATTCTATCTTGCTAGGTTGTTTTACTCTTTGCTCCTCATCCATACCTCAACAGCCTTCAGGCACAGAGTGTAGTACTGTACTCTCTGTGCATGTGCATTGACTTGATTCCAAGCGGAGTAGATACTGTAGTATCACTTAACTCATCATTTGTAGAGATGTGCAATTGAGTATTGTCAGTGTAGAAATGGTATATCTCACCCCAGGATGAGCTCAACCAGAGTTTTCATGCAGGAGTGGAGAAAGCACTGACCCCTGCAAGTCTTCTGCTCCTGATCAATACCCACTGGCAACAGCCTTGGAGGAAGGAACTAAACCAGGACAATACTGTGCCCTCCCACTCCCGGCCCCTGAAGCTGCTTCACAAAGATACCATGGTTGGCAGTATCAAAAGCTGGTGAGAAGTCAAGTAGACCAAGAACAGATGCATTACCCCTATCTTGATCCTGCCAGAGATCTTCATACTCAGTAGTAGCTGCTAACATTGTGAACCAATTTCTTAAATGGAAGAACTGGCACAACAGCAATGGAAGAATTGGTCTGGAAGGTAAATGCTTGAAATATTATATTTTGAGCAACCCAAATTCAAAGGCAACAGGTGTACTTATAGCTTTATTTCAGCATTAGTTCATGTTGACATTGATTGTCGTCAGTATGTCCAAATAAATTTGGGAGGAAAGGCAAGGAATGGAGTACTTCATTAGTGCAATAACCTCTTGAAGATCTAATCACAAGGATCTAGATTAATTTCTGCCAGGCAAAACACTGGATAGGTCATTAGTTTGATTCATGGCAATTCCTTCCTTGCATACATTGAATCTGTGCAAAGGAAATGAGGAATTCTTTGGACTGGAACAAAATAGCATTCAGGAAAGATTATGCTACTCATATGATATTGGTATACTGCTGTCCTAAAAATGTAAAAGTGAACAAGTTTGTTCACTTGAACAATCACTTAACAGGTGGTTAAGGCATTAAGGTAGACACTGGGAAACTGTGAGCAAGCACAAAGCCAGCAGGATGACTTTAGGCCCGTTACTCTCTTTTAGCCCAAGGAAGCAGCCAATGACAAACCACTGAGAAAAATCTTGCCATGAAATTGCAAGGATTAATCGAGGCTGTTGCCAGGAGTCCACAACTGACATAATGACACACAAACTCACATTTGGTAACAGATCTTTTCTGACTTGATTGCTACACACTGTCTAAAATTACATTGATTGTGCTGGAGAGCCCTAAAAATCCATTATATAAATAAATAAGCTGTCATCTTTAGCTATATATATGATGCATCAAATATAAGCCATCAATTTCAAAGAGTGGGTGGTTTTCTTGCTGCATTCACCCATTTTATACCTGCCAAACTGCTTGGTGTTTTCAAGAGTAAATTTAGAAAGATGGAAACATGGAAATCAGCCTTATCTTCCAGACTCAAAAATTATTGCTTTGCTATCACCAATTATATAGCCACACAACATGGGGCAAATCTATTTCATCTTCTACACTGATAATATGTTTTGAAGTACAAGTTCAAAACACATCACATTTTTGCCTGGATATTCAATGTTTTTAAAAAAACCTGCACAACATTTCCATGAGTTTTTGCATTCAGTTTTCTAACCCGGTTGAATTGTCCTGTAGAACATTGCTATTCCACACTCATTTTTGCCCAGGCCATGCTGAATGAATCTTCAGATTGTTATTTCTGGATCAGAATTCTAACCCAGTGACAAACTGGCCCTTCGCTATTTCGCTCCTTCTTGTACAAACACTGCTGGGGATGGGAAGAACAGAACAAAGAGGGGATTACCACAAAGTTTTCTTTTCCTAGGATGAAATAAGTCTAGGCTGCAGTCTCGGTTCACAAAGAGAGCTGCCCCCAAAATAAACAGTGTTTGTGTGAAACTTCTTACAAGGCCAGCTCTTCTTAAATTTTGCCATCCCGCATTTCTGTTTTAGTCCAAGAATTCTATGCCACAAACTCCCATTCTGTGGTTTTAGGTGGCTTAAAAATATAGCTACATGGCATAACATACTTTTAAACAGGACGGACATGAAAGGGAGAGTAAGAGGATGGCATGCATCTGAATAAGTAGCACTTCTGTTTTCCTTTTGCTACTTGAAGGTCCAAATAAAAGTCTGAATCCACAATGCTGATGCATTAGGCTAGCCAGGCGGTAGCACTGTAGTGGAATGTAGCCATTCATAATGCACACACACAACACCCTGCAACACAGAAAGGCTCTCGAATGAGACAAGAATGAGGAAATGTTTTTCTCTATGGACTACATTTATTTGCTTCTACGAAAATACAATTCCCTTTCAACATTCACAAGGAATTTGATTCTATGAAAATACAAGTCCTTTTCAACATTCACAAGGGATATATATATATCTGCTTGTTTATTTTGGATGGCACATGTATTGATTCTCTACTTGAAAGACAGAAAATGACAGAGGCTCCCTAGATGGACACTGCTGTCAAATAGATGCCCTATCCTAAGGAACTGTTTCAAATTTATTTCTGCATCCATTAGATTTATAGAGGTTATCCAAATGTTTCCAGTTCAAATACAGGCTACTGCTACAGCAATGGTTGCAAAGCTCTTATTTACCCACTATAAAGAGCTGTGGCAGCATGCATGTTTATTGAGATATTACAGCCCCAGTCCATCAAAGGCTTTCCCAATGGGAAAGGGGGCAAATCTACTTTGCAGCAGATCTGGAGGAATTAGGTATCTCCCAACTTGTGCATATTAAGGAGCAGCAGTAGCAGACATCAGGCTCAGGTAGCTTTTTGAACATAAAAAAAGGTAAAGCTAGGCAGAACCAATTGCTACTAAGCTCAAGGCAAAAAACACCCGCAGGCTGATCACGCACTGTGCGTTGCCACTTACAGACACCGTGCTCATACGTGCAGTGCCAGAGGCAAAAATACTAGCACATACCAGGAAAGAAGCAGTGTTTTTCAAAGAGGGTACGCCTTAACGGTGAGTCTAAGTAGCAGGCTGTTTGAAGGATCTCTTGCTGCAGTGCCTGGACAATCAGTATTCTTGTCCTTGTTCGGCGTGCAAGAAACTCAGATGTAAACACCACTGGATTAAGCATTTAAGACGAGCGGGCGCTTGCTTGGATCAGGGTCATGAATGGAGCTTGGCATGTTGAACCCATATAGGTATACATGGATCAGAAAACTCACTGGGCACATTGGGAGAAACAAGTCATTTCCCCCTCATCACTAGCAGTGTAGCAACTTTGCACTAGATGTTGCGGACACGAAATTACCGAAGCATATGTTGTTCATATCATTGGCTTACTCCATTTTGTAACTAGCTGCATAACAACAAATGTGTGAAGAAGCAGGTAATTATGATGGAGACTTCTTGCTTTGCGATCTTAAGGACAGCATAAAGTTATTTAAATCACCCTTGTCCCTTTTTTTTTTTAGTGCAAAAATCACCGGGGAGATAATAATAATAATAATATTCTCCTGCTTTCAGTCAAATCATGCCGATGGCGCTAAAAAGCCAAATCCCCCTCTAATCTGTGAGGTCTCCCCCAACCCCAGTCACAGACCCAGAAAGGCCATTTTTTAATGCACTTCACGCTGGTGGGCATCTATGTGGAAACTTCCTTTGTTGGGCCTTTTAATACTCCCTTGAAACTCCAGGGCTCCCCTGCAGGTCTTATAAGGCAGGAGCTCTAGTGGAAAGGATGGGAAAGACATAGCCACAAGAGGTATTTTTTTTTTATTCCACACTATTTCTTCCCTTTGATCAATTAGCTGGCTCCGGGAGCTATCTCTGGAAACTCTTTATAAATCTCTTGGATTATCATTTTGTCCATCTGGCACTGCTGGCTGTCCTCTGCTTCCACCATGATGCGCTGCAAGGTCCCCTGCAGGTCGGTTAAACGATGTTTATGCTGTAGGTATGGGGTGGTCCTCATGATGGCATGCATCAGAGACAGGTACTCCATCCGCAGCTGTAAGAGCAGAAGACAGCGGGGGGGTGGGGTGGGGGAAACAATTGAGAAAAGAGGAGAAATTGAGGTGGGGGGGGAGGCAGCCTTCTGGAAAGACAAATGCTTTGGAAAGAGCCAATCCTTGTGAAGTGCAGGAACTCCCTCAGAAGCCATCAGAATAAACTTGAGAGAGTTCTTGAGCTGTTCTTGTTTTCATGTTCGTCTAAATAAGTGCCCCCCCCCCACCCCAAGTAGTTTGAAAAACCTGTTTGGCTGGATAGTTTTCCATAATACTTTACTTAAGCTGTATGATAAAAAAAAGGAATCTAAAAGTTATATTGACATTTCCCCTTTCAAGTCCTTCTCTCTCTTTGAAGAAAAAAATACATGGGCTCAATGTCAACTCCCCACTCCCACCCAAAGTCCAGTTTTTGAGGCCAGCTGCAATCCTCACAGTTCACCTGTCATAATCGTAAAGTGAACTCTCAAAACATAGCAGTTAGTTGCTTACATTTATTAGATTAGAAATGTAGACCTTAAAACATTTGAGCTGAATCTGTCAGTTAGAATGTACATTCTTCAAACATATTTTTTTTAAAAAAATATTCCAAATAATTTTATTTATGATGCACCCTCTTACCATGGAGAGACTGAGAACCAAACACATCTGTACCCATTCAAGATTTGTTTTGCATCTGTTATGAAAAATCTGGGTAATTTCAAATGCAGCATTCTGAGCTTTAATCCATCTGTAAATCCATCATGACTTCATATTTCAATGGTAACATCTTGAATTGGTTTTTGGAGGCAATGCAGAATCTATAGCATTAACATAATGTGCTTCGACATGCCATTACTACCAGAAAAGGTATCTCTGATCCCAGAAAGTACAATTATTTGTAGGCAACAATTCCAATATATAAATAAAAAAAATGTTCCTGGTTATTTCATGTAAGTTAAACATATCATTGTTTTCATTAGATTGCAATCGTCCTCGATTTTTATTCTGAAGTAAAAACAAGAGTACAGTGTATAATAAGCATTGATTAAATGCCCTTAAAGTTGTGTTTTCTTTAAATAGTGTTTTGAAAAAAGAAGAAAAAGAGAAAGAACAGCTTCCTTATAAATTCAGCAAGAAATGTCACGACTTGTATCCTAATAATGCCTCCATTGATAAAAGGAAAATCTTCTACTGGCACTGAAAGGAAGCAAGCATCCTCTTCTTGTTCTCTTTAATTCCTCTATCTCGGCTGCGTGGGAAAAGCTCAAGAGTGGGAGCAAGCAGTTTAAACTTCCACTCCATGTGCAAAGTGGTCTTAATTTGAATCAGAATCCTGTGCATGTCACTTTAGGTAATTAGGCACATAATTAATGCAATTTGTAGCTTGACTATTACCTACCATAGACATCTAATTTAATTTAAATCTAAATGAGATCTTATTAATCTATTCAACTCTGTAGATATGAGATGACTGTACATGCTTTAGAACAGCCTCTGGCTCTCCAGATGTTCCTAAATCACAACACCCCCCCATCACTGATTGAGTTGACTAGGGCAGCTGGAGTTGTTGTTTAGTGATATGGGAGACCATTGATTCCTTTTCTCATTTTATAGCAATAAGATCACAGAAGAGAGAAAAGCTTCTTCTACCATTCTAGCTCATATCTGCGCCAAACATTCATCTTGTCACGTTTTCCCTCTTGAGGAGAAAAATCTAGTACTACCTTTCCTCCTGTGGGTTTTATACCTTTTCTCCAGGGGAGAGATCCGAAATCTGTCGCACAATTATGTCGATCATTACCATCATGTCTGTGTGGTAGAAGATGCTCGCAGTATCCTTGCAAGCAAAGATGTCTTGAAGAAATTTCAACACAGAATGCGGAGGCTGGGGCTGATGTTTAAAGATGCACACAGGATCATCTGATAAAAAAGAATAGAAAGGGGGATATTCTGTCATGCGCTGCCATTTCTCATTTAGGCAAAAACGCAGTCATTTATTCCATAGAACACGGTACAGGCATTACAGTAGCATTTGTTCAGACCAATCCAGCAAGGATTCTGGAAGGAAGTGTGTGCATGAATGAGCAATACAGGCAGATCGAATACTTCCAAGCCACAGCTTACATTCTTTTATTAAAGAAAATTATTCCAGAGAGGAAACATTAGATAGAGTGAACTGACTCCAGCTACAATGACAGCAGGTGTATCAATAAAGCATAAAATTTTGTGTGCTTTTTAATTATCCAGGTTAATTGTCTGAAAGAGAATATTTCGGCTCATGAAACTCTCCTGATATTAAAATATTCTGGTGGAAGAAGCTACGTTTACTCAAGTTTCTTCTTGTGCGACATCTCCTTTTTCCATGAGAATCTCCTTGAGATCTTGCCTTCCGTGTCAATAAATCTATATTCATTAACCTTTCTCTGATATATAATTTTCTACAGCTAGGACCCTGAGCTTCCCCTCAAACCTGTCCTTCAATTCACACTTCTGCAACACTTTTCTTCTCGGTTCCCTTTTCCATTTGAAGTATAAACTGGAGATGCCCTGAGTTTTCAGTGTCAGTTCTAGAGTATGATAATCATGTAGAGTGCTTGGGTGTTTCATAGAACTACAGTGTCTTTCTTTTTCCTACCTACAATGATGTGAATCCACAGCACTGGTTTGGTGTAATTTTGGCCATTGAAATCAAATGTCAAAATGCTCTTTTTCATTGAACAATATTGGTGCAAGTGGACTATTAAATGTGTAAATGGGCAAAAAGTAGCTACCTGGCCCTTCGCTGCAGTAAACCAGTCTATGTTTTAATATATGAACAACTGTTAACATTTTATTTGACCAGTAATTGTTTTTCAAAAATAGGTTTTTTTTTGCTGTCTATATGAAGAAATATGAAACCAATGGATATTTTCCATGATGTTAAAAAACATAAAGCAGGACATATCTCTAAAGAGGCTTCTATGGAAAAATTTAATTTGCTACTCAATATTCAGTGGATTCTTCAAAGAATGGACATTTTCGCAATGGAATAAGCTAAAGCTCTGTTGAGTAATATAAAACTAAAATCAGCTCCTGGCTGGCAATATGAAAAGAACACAATTTTCATTTGGAAAAAAAAACACTTTAAACCAGAAATAAAGGAATCTATTAATCTTCAAACAAAATAATTTGATTTAATTTTTCCTTTGTTTCAAAATGAGTACACATTTATCTCTTCACACACAAACAAATATAGCCTTTTTGTTCCTAAAGGCATTAAACTGCACAAAGCTTTGCGAGGAAAGCATGGATACAATGGTATTAGGCTGTCTAGAAATAAGGCTTTCCAGATTTTAAATGAAGTGCTTTTCTATAGGCTCTGCAGATTCAGGAGATTTAACACAGTGCTCACTGCTGGAAAAAGTAATCCGTGGTTAAACTAATTGAAAGATGGAAGAGGAGGAGGGGTTTTTTTGTGAGGGGGAGAGAAAAGAATCCCCTAAGAAGCCAGACTGTAGCTTTCTTGTGGCATACAAAGCAGATATAGGGAAATAAATTAAGCTATCATGCTTCTCATATCCTGGACTGGGAAATTTCACAGGGTGTGGAACATTATCTTCATTGGAAGTCAATGACCAAACTTATGAAGGAAGAAAAGAGAATGCGGCTGATTTTCACAGGCATTAGGGATGGGTGTTCATGAAGACAAGATCGTGCTCTTTTTGGTTATATTAGGAACCATGATCCCAGTGTTGCAAGTGTTTGTCTACAAGGACAAACAATTTAGGAAACCGTTTAATAGCAGGCCATTTGAACGGAAACCAAGCCAGCATTTCAGCAGGTCAATGTCTCGGATGCAGATGCTGGACACGCTTTCCTAACCTAGACCTTTTAAAAAGCAGAAACCTCCTGGAACTGAGAGGCTGTTTACCGATCTTTCTTTGCCTCTAGTTTCCTAGATCAACTCTCCCATTAGTTCTGTCTCAAACTGGATAAATAATAAAACAGCAAGAGACCTCACCTCCACGATTCAGAAGCAGTAGCAGCTTCTCTGTAAATATTTTGATGTTAGAGTGCTTCTTCACAGTAACCATGATCACATTATGCTCTGGAACTAAGAAACAAGAAGAGGGTTTATTAGTTGATTGAAGCACATCCTGGGCTAAGTTTGATCCTGAAGTTGTTATTCTCAAGGAAGTGGACAGGTTTCTTGGATCATCTCAGTGTCAGAGCCTTATCATTCCAAGGTTGCCCGGTGAGACCTGTGATTTGGTCTAGTTGGCAGTCTTTGAGATCTGTCAACTAATCTTTGAGAAGGATCAGTTTTGCTATCCCTTAAGGAGTCAGCAATCTGCTCTGTCCTCAAGAAGCCATTCCTAGAGTTTTGGACAATTTTGGACAATTTGCAGCCTGTTTATAACCATTCCTTTTTAGAGAAGGTGATTGTCTTGTGGCTTCAAAGGGCTATGTTTTAAATTACCTGGACCCTTTCCAGTAAGGTGGAACTGAAAATGCATTAGTTTTAGTTGTAGACGGCACCTGAAGGGAGCAGAATGAGAGTAGTGCATTCCTTCTTGCTCTCTTTGATCTCCTATCATGATTTCCCATCATGAACCATGGTATAATTCTGGACTGATTCAGGGAGTTGGAAACATGGAATTATGCTAGTTCTCCTCTTTCCTCCAGGATCTGCCCAATAAATCATCTTGTATGGGATGCTTCATGGTTTGATGTTCCCATTATTTAATATCTACATGAAATCACCAGGTGAGGTCATTCAATAACATAAGAGTGAGATGTCACCAATATGGCAATGATACTCAGCCATGTATGCCCATCCCGGGCCAGCCAAGAGATGCTGCTGAGTTTCTGTCTCAGTGCCTGGAAGTTGTGGGGGTCTGAATGAGGAAGAACAGGGTTCATTTCAATCCTAGCAGGAAGAGGAAGTACTTTGGGGGTTAGGGTCTCCTGAATCAATGGTTTTCCATCTTTAGTTTAGATGGGGTTGCATTATTCAAAACAGAATTGTTATAAAATTTGGAGATCCTTCTTGACTCCTGTTTAAAGA